TCAACAGAGCATATTTTAAAAGCGGGAATACTTGCTCAGACGGTTTCAAACTTGCCTGCATTTGAGGTTTCTCTCAGCAGAAATGCTGAAATTGGTGTTTTTTTTTTTTTTTACCTTTTGGTTTGGGGGGGGGGGGGGGGGGGAGGGAAATAGGTTTTCTTGGCTGCCCTGTTGAAGGAAATCTTGCATTTCAGCTTCCCCTCAACATTTTACAATAATTCTCATCGGGCTAATTACATACACAACACATTCCATGCTGGTTGTGTCGACCTGACGTGACCACAGGGATGTTGCAATGGTTGTGAAAGTGTAAAAGTCACTTTTTTTTTCAGTGTTGTTGTCAAGGGGGGGGGGAAGGAGATGGAGAAAGGAGAATTCAGATGCAACCCTTCGACATTTAAAAAAAATTCTCATCAGGCTAATTACATACACAGTACGTTGCCCTAGCAATTCCAGGCCGGTTGTGTTGACTTGACATGACCACGGGGATGTTGCAATGGTTGTGTGAAAGTCACTTTTTTTTTTCAGTATTGTTGTCAAGAGGGGAGGAGATGGGGAAAGGAGAATTCAGGTGCAACCGCCTTCTCGGTCACACAGGAATTGGCAACGCAGGGAGGAGGAAATGTCAAAAAGTTTGAGATACGTGTCCCTTTCACCCCCGATAAATATCCCAGATAATTGCCAGACAATTTGGAAACTCGGTGGCTCTGATCCTCCTCTAATTGTGGCATCAGAGCTGTGTCCACTTGCCAGAAGGGAAGTTTTATTATCCGGCAAATAAGCTGTCATCGGCTTTCCTTCTGGATGCTCTACGGCAGCTATTAAGTCACTTTTCATTCATTTCACTCCCACCCCCAAAATGATTAGTTTATTGGGAAAAAAAATATGATGGCGTTTACCACCTGCTATGTTAGCTAAAATATTTCAAAATTATGTCTAGCAAACGTTGGAAATGAAACCCAAAAAACAGGCACGTATGTGGCAGACTTTGCGTCACAGCAAAAAAGTTTTGGGCGAAGGTCCTCTGGTGGGCTAAGAAAGATTATAGGGAAACAGGTAGAGTGAAAACCTGGACTGTTTTTATTAGGTAAAATATCAGAAAAAAATTAAGATAAGAAAAGTATGTACTTTATATTACGTGTCCTTAACAGCAGCGAGAGTTATATTCGCACAGTACTGGAAAAATGAAGATATACCACAAGGTGAAGTCAGGAAGATGCTAGATTGCGCCGAAATGGATAGATTGACATTGAAAATTAAACAGAAAGAAGATGTAGAATATTATCAAACATGGGATTTATTTTACCAACGGTTGGAAAAAAGGCGTGGAGATTAAGAATGTAAATTTGCATTGTTAAGCACATCCAGATAAACAAGAGTTGGAAAGGACCTTGTAGGTCATCTAGTCCAACCCCCTGCCCAAGCAGGAGACCCTACACCATTTCTGACAGAGGGCAGTCCAGTCTCTTCTTGAAAGTCTCCAGTGATGAAGCTCCCACAACTTCCGAAGGCAACTTCTGTTCCATTAGTTGATTGTTCTCCCTGTCAGAAAGTTTCTACTTATTTCTAAGTTGAATCTCTCCTTGATCAGTTTCCATCCATTATTCCTTGTCTGGCCTTCAAATGCTTTGGAAAATAGCGTGACCCCCTTCCTCCTTTCTGTGGCAGCCCCTCAAATATTGAAAGACTGCTCTCCTGTCTCCCCTGGTCCTTCTCTTCCCTAGACTAGCTTGTCGAAAACTTACTATGGGTTTCAATCCCGAAGCATTCCAAATATTAATCCTAACTGATCCCTGTTCAAATATCTCTTTTTCATTCCTTAAGGGATGAAAATAACGGTGTGATTTTAGGGGGTCAAGCCAAGCCTGAAAATGGTCAAGTGGCTGTTAAGATATTTTCCCTTAACAATCCTATTACTAACTTAACAACTGTACTCGATTCACTTAATAACCATGGAAAGAATGGTCATAAAACGGGGCAAAACTCACTTAAATACATTTCTCACATAGCAATGTCAGTTTTGGGCTCAGTTGTGGTTGTACGATGAGAAGGACCTGTATATAAGATTATTTTTCAGAGAGACAGCTTGGCTTTCAGTAACTGGGTTGGGGGCAGCTTCTCACCTTCGTTTTCCTACCGTGCTTCCAAATGTTCAGATGTTACGACTGCTCTCTCTCTCCCCCTCACCCCCCCACCCCCCCTCCAGCAGGAGGAAGAAAAACAGGGCAGGTTGGAAACTGTGAAATAATTGAAAAATCAATTTACTCCCACCGCCTCGGGCCAAGTGTCTCATTCCCATTTGCAATAGGAGCCAAAAAAAGGCACGCTCCTTTTTAAGCAGTTGCACTGTATATGTTTGCACAAGTGTGCGTGTGTGTGTGTGTCACACACCAGACCACTTACAATGCCATCAGGAATGTCAAAGGGGCACCTGCAGTTTGTAAAAGGAGTCCACGTTGCTGTATTCTTTCCAGGAGACGCACACGCAAACACACACAGAGTGAACACAATGCTTTGCTTCTCCTTTAGTGACGCTCAACTTGCAGAAAGTGAGACTTTCCCCCTCTTCTGAATTTTATTCATTGATTTATTCCTCTCAGAGAAGCTGAAGCTCAAAAGAGCTGATCCCCCTTCGTGGACACGGCCGTTGGTCCATAGTGCCACAGGGTGTCCTGCTTCAGCCTTCTCTAAGCGTGGTTGATAACATCAGCCCCCAACCATCTGGCTCTTCATTTTAGCAACCTTGGGAGGATGGGAGACTGAGTCAATAGTAAGAGAAATAGCACTTCAGACTTATCGACCGCTTCACGGTGCTTTCACAGCCCTCTCTAAGCGGTTTGCAGAGTCAGCCTCTTGCCCCCAACAATCTGGGTCATTTTACCCACCTCGGAAGGATGGAAGGCTGATTCAACCTTCAGCCAGTCAGGATCAAACTCCTGGCAGTGGGCAGAGTTAGCTTGCAATACTGCATTCTAACCACTGTGCAGATGGATGGATGGATGGATGGATGGATGGATGGATGGGAGGGAAGAAGGAAAGGAAAAGGAAAGGAAAGGAAAAGGAAAGGAAAGGAAAGGAAAGGAAAGGAAAGGAAAGGAAAAGGGGAAAAGGGGAAAAGGGGAAAAGAGGAAAAGAGGAAAAAAGGAAAAGGGGAAAAGGGGAAAAGGGGAAAAGGAAAAGAAGGAAAAGGAAAGGACACTAGCAGTATCCCTTAGTCTTATATACTACTTCACAGTGCTTTCCAGCCCTCTCTAAGCAGTTTACAGTCAGTTTAGAACAGTTGCAAGATTTGGCTTTGGCTAGTCTACAGAAAAGACAGACTAGAGGGGACATGATAGCAGTATTCCAGGATTTGAGGGGCTGCCACAAAGAGGAGGGGGTCAAATTATTCTCCAAATCACCTGAAAGCAAGACGAGAAACAATGGATGGAAACTAATCAAGGAGAGGAGCAACCTGGAATTAAGGAGAAACTTCCGAGGACAATCGACCAGTGGAACAGCTTGCCACCAGAAGTTGTGGTTGCTTCATCACTGGAGGCGTTTAAGAAGAGACTGGATAGCCACTTGTCTGGAAAGGTACTATAAGGTCGCCTACTGGAGGAGGGGGTTGGACTAGAAGACCTCCAAAGGTCCCTTCCAGACCTTTCAGTCTGACTCTGGCTCCATGGGAAGCTCCTAGCACAGGCTCACCTTGCAGGCTGCAAGATTCCAGGTTGCTCCTTGGCCGGGGAGTCAGGTGAGGTTATGTAGCTGCCAAACCGGTGACTGGATGTCGGGATGAGCTGGACCCGAGCCAAACTCAGGAGAAATCCTGACGGGGTGGAGAACCTCTGGGTAAGCACTTTTTTTTACGTCCGGGAATTAAATTTACAAGCCTGTCCCTGGATGCTGTTGGCTGATCTTTGAAATAGCAGGTGTGTAGCTTAGAGGGAGGGACGGGAGCAGAGTTGTGCAAAATTTCTGAGGCAGAACCAAGAGAGGAGCCAAAATGAAACGGATAGTCCTCGACTTGCCACAGTAGCGCATCAAATGCCTCTTGCTAAGCAAAACTTTTGTTAAATGACTTTTTTTGAGAGAGGGGGAGAGGGAGAAGCGCACGAGAGAGGGAGAGAGAGAGGAGAGAGAGAGGAGAGAGAGAGAGAGAGAAGAGAAAGAGTGAGAGAGGGAGAGGGAGAGAGAGGGAGAGAAAGAGAAGAGAAAGAGTGAGAGAGGGAGAGGGAAGAGAGAGGAGAGAGATGGAGAGAGGAGAGAGAGAAGAGAAAGAGAGTGAGAGCAGGAGAGGGAGAGAGAGAGAGAAGAGAGGGAGAGAGAGAGAGAGAAGAGAGAGAGAGGGAGAGGGAGAGAGAAGAGAACAAGAGCGGGAGAGAGGAGAGGAGAGAGGGAGAGAGGAGAGGAGAGAGGGAGAGAGGAGAGAGAGGGAGAGAGAAAGGAGAAAGAGAGAGAAGAGGGAGAGAAAGAGAAGAGAAAGAGCGAGAGAGGGAGAGAGGGAGAGAGAGAGAGAGAAGAGAAAGAGGCCGGGAGCGGGAGAGAGGAGAGGAGAGAGGGAGACAGGAGAGAGACGGAGAGAGAAAGGAGAAAGAGAGAGAAGAGAGAGAGAGAAGAGAAAGAGCGAGAGAGGGAGAAGGGAGAGAGAGGGAGAGAGAGAGAGAGAGCAGGAGAGGGAGAGAGGAGAGGAGAAAGAGAGAGGAGAGAGAGAAGAGAGAGAGAGGGGGAGAGGAAGGGAAAGAAAGAGACCCTTGTCATAACAAATATGTGGTGGTAACCATCCTTGCTCAGCGTTGTAAGATTGCTGAGTAGTAAAAGGGACATTAGGAGACCTTTGCTCAGTCACTAGGCAACCAGTAGCAATGGGGAGCTGACTGAGAGAGGCTCCCACCCAAAGATCCTCCAAGGATTTTCCTGGAATTGAACTCAACATGAGCTTATGCTAAAATGGATATTCTCCTTCCATTCTGTAGGACAAGTGACCGGTTGACGTTCTCCTTCCATCTGGTAGGACAGTCATTGGTCCCCTCTCATCTTTGAGCTCCGCAAATGTGGGTCTTCTCCAGTCCTCCTTTCATGTCTGATTATATACTGACCAGACACTGATGCGGTGATCCTTGGAGCCAGCTGCCATTAGTCTCTCACTGGGCTTCTTGTGATCTGAGAAGGCTACGCAGTAGACGGTTGACGTGTGGTAGTCCAAGACAGCTAACGGCTTAAGCTTCTTCCAGCCGAAGAGGCGGATGCGGTGATCCCAACCGGCTGTTGCCAAGATCTTCTTGTCTTGACGTAGACTCACCTCGGAGATCCCAGGATTGGTGAGCTGGTACGTTTGTTGAAGCTACGGAAAACACCAGATGTGGAAAGATGAGCATGGCAAAAGTTTATTTGTGCGGTCAAAAGAAACACTCAGATAAAGTTGACCTCATTGCTCCCCAAAGAAGGGAAGCCCTGTCTCTCCCGTCCTCCACTTCCTGCCATTTCTTTCCCTATTGATATGTTGACACTGTGACAAGGCTTATAAGTTACAAGTATAGAAAGACTTCTTGCAATTGTCTTCTCTGTTTCCTGGCGCAAATTCTACCTGCCGCTTAGAAGAACAACTAAGATGATGAAGGGCCTGGAGGTTAAAATGCGTTTCGAACGGTTGCAGGAATTGGATATGGTTAGTCTAGAGAAAAGAAGGAATAGGTGGGACAGGATAGCAGGGTTCCCATATTTGAGGGGCTTCCACAAAAGAGAGGGAGTCAAGCTATTCTCCAAAGCACTGGAAAGCAAAACAAGAAGAAATGGACGGAAATTAATCAAGGAGAGAAGCAAGCTGGAATTAAGGAGAAACTTCCTAACAATCAGGACAATTAACTAGTGGAACGACTCGCCTGCAGAAGTTATGGGAGCTCCATCACCGGAGGTTTTCAAGAAGAGACTGGACAGCCACTTGTATGAAATATAGGGTCTCCTTCTTGAGCAAGGGGTTGGACTAGAAGACCCCTTCCAACTCAGTTAGATATCTAGAGTAGTGTTTCTCAATCTTCGCCACTGTAAGATGTGTGGGCTTTAACTCCCAGCGTGGCTGGCTGGGGAGTTCTGGAAACTGAGGTCTTAAAATTGCAAAGCGTGGACATCTCTGGTCTACACAGGGACCAGCTCAAACAGGCTTCCGTCGTGCCATCCTGAAATGGCTGAACGAGAGCTTCTGAAAAACATTCTGCTATCAAAACAGTGGAGTGACAGTGGAGTGCCATGGTTATCTCAGGAGCTTGGAACGTCCACCTAATGCCCCACCTGGTTTATATTATTAATTCAAACAGATAGAAGGGAAGAAATTAAAGGGGGTTTGTAATAGTCTGAACAAAGAGGAGGAGGAGAGGAGGAGAGAAAGAGGAGGAGAAGGGGAGGAGAGAAAGACAAGGTGGAGGAGGAGGAGGAGGAAGGGGAGAGAAAGAGAGGACAGGAGGAGGAAGAGGAAGAGAGGATAAAAAGGAGAGGAGGAGGAGGAGAGAAAGGAAGGGAAGGAAAAAGAGGAGGAAGAGAAGGAAAAAGAAGGGAAGAAGGACAAGGCTTTGATTTGTTAACTTTAATCCATCCTAATTGGCTACTGTGGAAATTGGGATAGATTTACCCTTCTGGCACTCAAATTTTCATTTCTTTCATATTTTGGCAAAGCTAGACATGGCTGCAAGTAGAATAACTCCTGGTTTTTCTCAGGAGCCTGTTTTGGCTACAATTTGGCTGGCACGTGACCCCAAATTTATTATTAGGAAGCGTGATGACATACAGACCTTGTTGAAATGAGCAGATCCTGAATTTTCAATTGGATGGGACACGAAACACAAACGCCGTTTCCGCTTGGAGAAAATTTTTTTTTTTTAGAGCTGGGAGCAGACCCAGAAGTCAAAATGATCGTAAAAACCATAACTTCTAACTTCCCTTCTATCACCCCAGTTCCCAATTCTCTTTTCTATTTATGGCCCTTGCTTAGATATGACAATTCAAAATATATTTTTTTTCCCCCTCTTCTCCAGAGTTCTTGCTAGAGTCGGATGAGTTTTCTGACATCTTTTCCTAAATTATTTTCAAAGCTGCATAGCCCTCCCTGGAGGAGCATCACGCTTGCTCAGAGAGCGTAGATTTTCTTCCGTTTCAATCTCCGGCTGGCTCCCGAGCCAGGAATGTAGCAGCCATAAACTGTACACAGTTCAAAGATCGGCCCTTTCCTTTGAAAGACAAACATGGAAATCATAAACAGGTAGTCTTTGACTTATGACCACAATGGAGCCCAAAATTTATGTTGCTAGGTGAGGCATTCCTTAAGTGAGTTTGATGATGCCCTTTCTGGCTAATTGTGAAGTGAATAACTGCAACTGTTAAATAATTTACACAGCCATTAAGTGAATCTGGCTTCCCCATCGACTTTGCTTGTCGGAAGTCCGCAACCATCACAAATGTGAATCAGTTGTCAAGCAGCCATTGTAATGGTCTCTAAAGGGAATGGTGGAATGGAATGGAATGGAATGGAAGAGTAGAGTAGAGTAGAGTAGAGTAGAGTAGAGTAGAGTGGTAGGGTAGGGTAGGGTAGGGTAGGGTAGGGTAGGGTAGGGTAGGGTAGAGTAGAGTAGAGTAGAATAGAATAGAATAGAATAGAATAGAATAGAATAGAATAGAATGAGCTGGAAGGGACTTTGGAGGTCTTCTAGCCCAGCCACCTGTTCAAGGAGGAGATCCTATACCATTTCAGACAAATAGATGTCCAGTCTCTTCTTGAAAACTTCCAGTGATGAAGCACCCACAACTTCTGGTGGCAAACTGTTCCACTGGTTAATTGTCCTCACTGTTAGGGAGTTTCTCCTTAATTCCAAGTTGCTTCTCTCCTCGATTAGTTTCCATCCATTGTTTCTTGTCCTGCCCTCTAAGTTGCTTTGGAAAATAGATCAAAAGGCTTGGAAGAACCACAATGTCTACAGCAGTATGAATAACATCCAGAAGAGTAAAAAAAACCAAAGGCATCACGTTAAAAAGTCACACGCTGGACTTTAATATCTTGTTTTTGGGGTGAGTGTGGGGGAAGAGAGGGGCTTGGTCTGTTTCTGTAAAAACACTTTTTTTTTAAGTTTTGCATTTTAACTTTTTTGAAGAAAAATTAAAAATTTGAAAGACAAAAAGAGAAAGGGGGGAGCAGAGAGAGAGAGAGAGAGAGAGAGAGAGAGAGAGAGAGAGAGAGAGAAGCTTAAACTAAGTGTTAAATTCCCTCCAATCAATCTTCTCCACTCGTATTATTTTTTTAGATATTCCCAATAAAATTTCCTCACTCACTTCTGACCCATGCCGAAATCTAACCTCAGACATCTGGATCACCAAGATGGAAAGGTTTACACACACACACGCACACACGCGCACACACACACCCCTCTGATGCAACATGGAGGATGGTTCCCATCTCCAACTCTGCGGAGCAGGCCCTCCAGAGGTGCCTAAATATTTTTTTTCAAAGCCTACCAGGCTGTTAGTGCAAAACTGAAGACGTGGTTTAGGGTGGGCGAAGAGAGAGACCGACCTCCAGTTTCTCCTGCCCCTTGTGGCTCCAGACGCAAAGCTGCTTCTCCGAGGAACCGGACGCTCCCTTGGCCTTCTCCGCGTCGAAGTCAAGGCTCATGACCGGCTCCTGATGACAGGTGAGCCGACTCAGCATTTGTCTCAGGGACAGATTCCATAGAACCACTGATCCGTCCTCATAGCCGGCCAAAAGGAGAGGATGCGAGCCAGTGTTGGGCTGAGAGAGCAAAGACAGCAAACATGGAAGGAAGGCCGATCCTGGTTAGTCCTCGACTTACAACAGTTCGTTTAGTGTCCAAGGCACTGAACAAAGTTTGACTTGGGACCGTTTTTCACCCTTCAACTCCATCCTCCTAGTCAACCCTTCCTTTTTTTAATTAAATTTTTATTAATCTCTCTCTATATATATATACATAAGAGCGAAAAACCACTCACACATCATCACAAAATCTCCAGAGCCGTAAAGCCTACAAACTTGAAATTTGGCACGTAGGTTCCTCTTGGCTTCTAGGTGCTCACTAAGAAAGGATTTTAACAAATGACCATCAAAGCATTAGTATTTCCCATATTATTATTATTATTATTAACGCTCTGATGCTAAGGAGTTCTACTCCCCCTCCCCACCTGAAAAGAAATCTGTTCCAAATGCAAAACACAAGCAGAGGAGAGGAGTTTCAATTTCAGTTTTACAGCATCAAGCAGCTTTAGTACAGAACAGTTGAGCTAAGCCACGTCCAGGCTCCTTGCTGTCTCCTTCTTGCTCACACAGCAAATACTGCTTCAGTTTCCAAACAGCCCTCAACTCTCTATCACAGTGCCAGGACGCTAGCCACATGAATACTGATGGATGCTGGTTGGCAGAGGCAGAATTTCACCACCACCCCCTATTTTCCTCCCCAAAAAGTAAGGAAAAGATGATTCATGAGTGTCCGCCTCTCGGACCGTGTTGCGGGCAAAGTGGTTTCCTAATTAGCTCCCATTGGCTTACCTGCCACATCCTCAGAGACATGGGCATCCCCAGTTTAGCATCCGTCTCCGGCTTCAAGGTACAGATTGATGTCTTGGATGGCATCTCGAGAACATGAACCTGATATTAAAGAAACACGTCGAATTGGCCACCAGCCAGACACCAAGGAACCAAAACGCAAGCGAAAACTTTCCGAGCGATTTGCAAGAGGCTGGGGCAAACGGCCCCCATTATATATAATATACGAGCCACGGTGGCACAGGGATTAGAGGTGCAGTACTGCAGGCTACTTCTGCTGACTGCCGGCTGCCCTGGCAATTTGGCAGTTCGAATCTCGCCGGGCTCGAGGTTGACTCGGCCTTCCCTCCTTCTAGCGTGTGCTCCATCACGAGAGGTTTTTAAAAAGAGACCGGACCTTTGTCTGCTTGAACACGGGGTTGGACTAGAAGACCTCCAAGGTCCCTTCTTTCTATTCCTATTCTATTCTATTCTATTCTGCAATTTGGCAGTTTGAATCTCACCAGGTTCAAGGTCGGCTCAGCCTTCCATCCTTCCGATGTGGGTAAAATGAGGACCCAGATTGTTGGGGGCGGGAAGCTGACTCTGTAAACCGCTTAGAGAGGGCTGGTGAAGCGGTATATAAGTCTAAGTACCATTGCTATTGCTATCAAGCAGTTTCCATATCAGTGAGTTTGAAGCCTGCTTTAAACTCCTTTCCAAGCTGGATCCAGACACTAAAATGCTAAATAAAAATTTAATGTAGTTTAGAGGGCTGGGAAGCACTGTAAATTGGTGGGTAAATTCTATTCTATTCTATTCTGTTCTGTTCTGTTCTGTTCTATTCTATTCTGTGATTCTATTCTATTCTAACTCTATTCTGTTCTATTCTATTCTATTCTATTCTACTCTACACTACTCTACTCTACTCTATTCACTATTCTATTCACTATTCTGTTCTATTCTGTGATTCCATTCTATTCTATTCTATTCTATTCTATTCTACTCTACTCTATTCTATTCACTATTCTATTCACTATTCTGTTCTATTCTGTGATTCCATTCTATTCTATTCTATTTTTAATTCTAATTCTATTCTATTTCTTTTCCCCTCAAAATACCACAGTCTTCCCTCCTCCTCCTCCTCCTCTCTGCAAACCCCACTTCTTTCCAGCACTGATGATGTTACCTAGTTTGGTAATGAAACGTCAGCGAGAAAAGAACCCAGCTCAGACTGCATGCAGTCGAGGAGCTCCACAGGGTGAAGGGTTCAATAAATTTAATTCCAATTGCAATAGTCTTTCAATATTTTCCTACCTCCTGGTGTTTTTTTCCCCCTTTCCTCGGCCTCCTTCCCAGCTTCGTGCACTTCTACCCCCCAAAATAAAAAAAATGCACTTGCTCGTTGAAATGCAACTTTGGGGGCTGCACATGGAGTAGCTAGAGGGTGGCCTTGCCAGCCCAGCGTGTTGCATTCAACACACCACTTAAAAATTAACCTTCAAAACTAACCCTGCGCCTCTGCGCCGAAGCCCCCTCCTGCTCTCCCCCTGGGAGAACAAAAAAAAAAAACCCGAGACCAAACTGTTTCAGGAATACAAACGCCAGTCGGAATAGTTTGTGGATTGTATTTCAATTCCTGCAGAGTGTGTGTGTGTGTGTGTCCGTGGAGTGGAGTGGGGGGAGGAAGAGGACGCCCCACACCTATAATTTACGGCTGACACATTTTTCAACGGGGAAAGGACAGCTGAGCCGAAGCAGGGAAAAGACCTGAATGGATCTTGGGAGAGAATCAAATAGATCTTGCTTGGTTCCGCTTCGGGTACCACCAAGAGAGCCGGCTGAATCTGGGCATGTGCAGAAATTCGACGGTGCTGGAGGCCTTTGGATGAGACGCACCCACCGTGAAATGCACCGCCTGATCCTACTGTCCTTTTTATTTTTTTTGAAAAGAAGAATATGGGAAGAAACCAGCTTATTTGTTTTTATTATCCGTTTAGATCTGTCTCTTTCTCTCTCTTCCTTTCCTTTCCTTCTTTCCTTTCCCGTCCCTCTCCTTCCCTTTTCCCTTCTTTCCTTCCTATCTTCCCTTCCTCTTTTCCTTTCTTCCTTTCCTTTCCCTTCTTCCTTCCCTTCCCTTCCCTCTCTTCTCTCTTCCCTTCCTTCCCTCTTTTCTTTCCCTTCCCTTCCCTCTCCTCCCTTTCCTTTCCCTTCCCTCTCCTTTCTCCTTCCTTCCTTCCCTCTCCTCTTCCCTTCCCTCCCTTCCCTCTTTTCTTTCCCTTCCCTCTCCTTTCTCCTTCCTTCCTTCCCTTCCCTCTCCTCCCTTTCCTTTCCCCCTTCCCCTCCC